ACTGATCTGCCTCGCCCAGGAAGAGCGCAATGATGGTGCCAACTTGGGCCAGTGAAGAAACGTCCTCCACAACTAGACTGAAGAAAACGACAACAACTTGTCTGTTCCCCTTCCCCCAATTCCCCAATAAAAATCTTAAAAAAAAAAAAAAATGCATTCATTGACTGTATGCTATCGGTAAGGCATCCAGTCAACAGCAGACTATTCATAGCTACATTTTGGGGGAATCAGAAGTTCTACGAATATTTTTAACTGCATGCGGGTCAGTGCCCCTAACTCCCGCTTGTTCAGGGCTCAACTGTATAATGAATTTTGTTATCTAACTTATATAGAAAGTAACAAGTTTTTACACTAATTAACACTGCACAGTACAAATAGAGAGCTTACAGTAACCTGATTTCAACTGTGTACATAGATGTGCACATGAACTACTTGGTCTATCATTAAAATGTTAGTATTTTAATCATTCATTAATAAATGGACATTAATTAAAGTATCAATTTAAATAATTTTCTACTGCCACATATGCAATATTAGAACTATTTCAAGGGGGGGGGGGCGGAATTCTTTCTTCAAAAAAAGTCCTAATTTGATAGGCCTAAAACAGAGGAATGCCATTTAATTTCAAGTTGCTATCTTTATCAAGTCATCAGAAAGCCCAAGTTTACTTGGGTTAAGTGAAAATTCATATATGACAGCAATGTGAGCAAAATGGGATACAGATTCTTATACTCCTAATAAAATATTCATAATCACAAACTCACTTAAAACTTAAAACACAAATGCCAATCAGTCCCATAGTAAAAAAAAAAAAGGGCAACACAAGCTCGTACTAAGACCAAAATAGGAAAAAGCCAGGAGCCACGCTCAAGTCACATATATCCCAGTCACATATAGTTCAAAGGATGCACTAACAGCAAGATAAGTGACATAAGGAAGAGAGACAAGATTAGGAAAACATTACAGTTCTTCAGATTAAATGTACATGCAATATAACAACTGGATACTTTTAATGATGATCCAGTCATCAAGATGGATTAGTTCTATATTTAGTAATACTATTTATGAAAAGAAAAATATGTATTTTCCATGGAATTGTAAATCCGGAGCTTTAAAAGACCTAGAAACCCAGTGCACAATTAAGTAGCTTGCCCAAGAATATGCAGTAGAGTCGAAAGTAGAACTCAAGTTTATCAGAAAGCAATCAAAAAGTTTATTTTCTTAGTCACCTGGAAAATTCCAAAATAACTTTAAAGGTCTTTCAGACATCAAGGGAACACATTTCACATAGAATTACCTTGACTACCTAAAACAAATTTCTTAGTCACATATTTAATATTCAAGTGAATGCCAATCATCTTTCAATAAGAATAAAAACTATATGACATAGGTAGTATGGAGAAAAGGAGGTTAACATTAATAGTTCATCTTTTGCAAAATTTATTCTTAAGTCAACTTTTCAATTCAGTTGTTTTACCTTGTTGGGCAATATCATGGTAGAGACGCTCTACTCTAGAATTGTTTCGAAGAAGGTCCAAACATTGTCTGTATGATTCCCACAGGAATTTAACCCATGGAGTTAAAAGCAATCTGTCAGTACGATCCTGCGTGTCTTCACCACTTACAGCACTTAGGAGAACACTACAAAAACATGAAAAATGGTGAACACTTTTAGACATGGTTTCCTACTTTGCCTTATGACTAAAAAACCCAAACCAACATGATCATTACAGAACAGTGCAAATTCTTCCTACAACTTTGGACACGCTGTAAAGCTGTCACTTAGTGTCCACATATTTGAATTCCCAATTTGTATTACAACCATTTAAATTAGTATACACCTACCTATCTGAAAGTTGTATATTCCACTTTTATAAATTTTGAATAGTACATGATTTTTTGGTTACTAATACAATTAAAATTTCAAAGGTAAGCAGTCTTTCTAATAAAGATCTACTTCAAATAAAGATGATGGAGACACATGTAAAGAAAAGCACTGAGAAAAATTCATTAGCAGTTTAATCCACATACCTCTCAGGAGTTTGAATATTATCCAGGTCTTCTATATCTAAAACCATCTGCTGGGATTCCTCTTTAGCAGCTTCAGTTTTTTCCTCTGCCAATTTCAAATATGCCCTAACAACATCCTCTAGAGATTTGATGTTCACCTAACCAAGAAAAAAAAGAACTTCAAAACACTTTTCCCAGCAAACTGTAAAATATTTTGAAGCAAATTTTATGATAGAACATGTATTAACTTTGAAAGGTAAACTCTGAAAATAACTAAAAGCAAGCACTTCTTTCACAAATACATTAATAAAACCTAGCTCTGTTCATACCTGTTGACAGATGTTTTTATACTGATATAATCCTTCTTTAGCCAAATGGCTCTTGCGAAGATCCACACAAAGTTCCAAGTATTTCAACATGATTGGCTCGTGTATTTTTTGCCATGTTCTATGTTTCTTACTTTTCATAACATCATAAAGAACGTCCAAAGCAGGTTGCTTTTTGCCAACCTCAAGAAATTCTGGAAAAGTAATTCAGGAGAATTAAAATCAGTTACACATATTATACAAAATCTCAACCTTGCTTTCTAAATTGGTTGTTTTAATTTCTAAACTCATTACCATCTCTTTTTAGGTCACATTTATTTTTGACTTCCAAAGCTATGCCAAAATTATCCAAGGTAATAAAATGAAAACCTGGTGCTATCTCAAAATACGGTCTACAGGTAAAGTTGGATTTCACTCACTTTTACTGTACCAAACGTAACTAAGTGATTTTAAAGTTCCAGAAACAAGTCATGAGTGATAAAAATCTTCCCCCACAAATGCAGAAAAGTATGACTTTAGTCACAGTGATCTGACTGGTATTTTTGCTAGTTCATGTTAATACTTGAGGCTTCTAGAAAAACACATTAGACTGACACTGTTCCTTTAAGACCAACTATGCACGTAGGTCTACTTCTGGGCTCTCTATTCTGATCATTCTCTATTGATCTATGTACCTAGTCTTTTTGCCAATACCTCTCTGTCTTGATTCCTGTAAAGGAATGAATGGTAGTCTTGAAACCAGGTAGTGTGAGTGCTCCATTGTTGTTCTTCAGTATTGTGTTGCCTATACTAGGTCTTCTGCCTTTTCATGTAAACTTTAGAATTAGTTTGTAGATAGATACAAAATAGCTCACTGGGATTTTCAATTGGGATTTTATTGAATCTATATATCAAGTTTGGAAGAACCAACAACTTAATAAAATTTAGTGTTCCAACCCATGAGCACAGACTCTCTCTCCACTTATTTATGCCAGTCTGAACATGAGAAAAATATTACAAATCCCAAATGAGGGATATTCTATAAAATACCAGACCAGTACTCCTCAAAATCATCAAGGTCATCAACAAGGAAAGTCTAAGAAACTATCACAACGAAGAAGACTTAGAAGACAGGACAATTAAATGTAATAAGGTGTCCTGGATGAGCTCCTGAAATACAAAAAAGACCAAATACAAAAAATACAAAAAAGGGAAAGCTGAGGAAACCTGAAGTATGGCCTTTGGTTAATAATAATGTATCAGTATTTGTTCATTAGCTGTGACAAATATACCATCATACTGATGTAAGATATTAAAAGGGGAAACTATATGTGGTCTGTCTGGGAACTATCTGTACCATCTTTGCAATAATTCTGTAAATCTCAAACTTCTAAAATTAAGCTTATTTTTTAAACACTGGGAAAAAAACATTTTAGAATGTAGAGCAAAGAAACTTACTCTCTTCTGAATTTACTGCCACCTAAACCTGAAGGCATTCTGTACGTGGCAGTTATTTTGAAATCCGGTCCAAAGCAAAGGCTCCTCTATCACATTATTTCCGATTCAAATTAAAATGTATCTTATTTTTTCTCATTTTTTACTATCTTTTGCAGCAACAGTCAACAGACTTGGGGAGGGGGGTATTTAATGTAAGCCATCTAGTAATTGCCAGCCTTCACACAGAGAAAAACTTTCAATGAACATCTGAAAAATGATTTGGGGAGAAAACACTAGTTTACACTATAAAAAATGTCTTAAAGTACAACATCTCCATTTTTAAAAATCACTGTTTATTTTCCTCCTAAAAAAAAATCTGACAAAGAATTTTTTAAGAGTTAACCCCACAAACCTAACAATGTATCTAGCATTATCTACCATGCAACTCTGTGCTAGGCAAATAGGCAAAAAGGTCCTTATTTGGGAGTTTCATTAGATCTACAGATTTAGTAATTCTCTACTTATTCTTCCTCCAACTATCACATCTTTCAGGAATATTGTCTGTGAACATTCCTTCCCCTACGAAAACTACAAACAATATTCCAACTCGCTAATATATTAAAAAGCTTGAACAGGATAAATCACACAACAAACTGAAATAAGTATCTTTACACAATATCCTACTTCACCCATATTATCAAATCATATTCCTCACACATGCAAATAAATGCAAACCTTTCTTCAATACTTCAAGTTAATAAACTCAATACTGATCTTGCCATTATGCAAGTCAATTTTCAGTAGTCAATTTTATTACCCCCCCTCAAGAAATCCTACAAAAGGAAACAAAGATGTAATACAACTAGATACTTTGTTGGAATAATAAGCCTTTCCTGTTTTAAGAGGAGGACCTACCTATCTTGCTCCTGGAGAGTGCATACAAGGTTATTTTCTAAAATTCAACAGAATTTTAGGTGCTTTGCACAACTATTTTACAAAAACAGTCTCTATCAGCTAAAAAATTGGGATCTAATGTTTTCAGTTAAATTTATCCTTTTCATTACAAATATCACAGCTGGGGCGGCCTAAGGTTAGCTCATTTGATTAGAGAGCAAGCTCCTAACACCAAGGTTACCAGTTTGATTCCCACATGGGCTAAGGAGGTGCACCCTCCACAACTAGACTGAAGACAACTACTTGACTGGGAGCTGATGGGTCCTGGAAAAATACACTGTTCCCCAATAAAAATTTCTTTAAAAAAAATAAAATTAAAAAAATATCACAGCAGCAGCACCCAAATGACCTCTTAGTCCCAATCTTAAATTGAAATTTTAAATCTTATGCTACTGTATACAAGTATTGTCAATATGCTTTTAGCAAGAATAGGCACAAAGAGAGTTAAAGTTGAGAGCTGGCCTCAGCATGGGTGTGATGACAAAATACTAAACTGTCTAAAAATAATTCACTTTCCTAATCTCTTATTTTTAAATGGGAGTGTGGTTTCTTAATGTCATTCTAAAAAATAGTCTTGTTCAGGGATAGAATTAAAAGTATTTTTCACTTCCTAAACAGCCAATCAAAACTTATGATTCCAAATCCGATACTTTCAACTCTGCAATAATAGGTTCAAACAATCCAAAGCAAGTGCTTTAAAAAATAATTGTAAATAGGACAGACCCCCCCCACACACACACACACACACCAACAACAAAAGAAAACATGGATACAAGGCAAGGATGTTTTTTTAAAAAAAACTGGAATGGGAACAGACTTTTCATGATAATCCAGATGTTGAGTTCCTGCCTTTATACTAACATACACAAGGAGGATTTGGTTCCTCTGAATTACCTAATTGGGGGAGGGGGAGGATTTGAAGCTGAAAATGTTCATTTCCGCTTGATACTCTTGAAATCAAAATCTGGAATTACAAACTGTATTAGGAGCGTGGGCGTTCTGAACTTACCTTTCAGACACAATGGCTGAAACTATCTATAAAGAAAGTTTAGCTCAGCCCTTCAATTTTACTAGCTTATCTGTACAACACACCAAGTAGATAAGCTATAATGTTAAAAAATTTGTGGGTTCAAAGGCAACTTTATTTTTAAGTCATTGGTCGTAGAGTGTAAATTTAAAAGCTGTTACAGGGTCAGAAGCAACTAATTTGGCACTACTAACAACATAATCTGGAAAAAGGGCCTTTTCAAGTGATTCCGGGGCATGGATTTTTTTTTTTTTTGCCTGTTAACTGCTGGGCCACATTCTCATCTTCCTGAATGATTACTGTAATTGTTTCCAAAAATATGGTTCTGATATACAGACTCAAAGTAACTTAAAAGGCTATTCTACTTAAATTTATTCACAAAATTTTATTAATATAATGCAATGGATTAGGTCTAAATGTTTGAGGTTACAAACATTATAAAGCATTTAGATAAAATGAGGTTATTTCCATTGAATAAAACGTGCTTTTATTATCCTATTCGGTTTTGTAAGGAGTGCCATATGCCATACACATTCTGCTCACCTTGACACTTATGAAGAGACCTCTTATTCATAAGATCAAAGGTACAGAAATTACTACATGAATGGTAAACTGTTTCATCTCTACCACAGAAACACCCGTCCTACAGCTTCAAAAAGGGCTGCAAGGAGTTAACCCACCCTTTTCTGAAAACTATCCTAACAAAATTCAAGCCCCCCCCCAGTAGTATCCCCTTATCTTGCCTTTAATTTCAGATTACTTTTCCCAACTTGCCCTTCACAAGTCAATTTCAACTTTAAAAACATAAGATGTTACACATGTCCCTTCTAATTTTAAAAAAGCTGAAATATTAAGTTCATATGAAGATTCAAAAGGGAAGACTGATGAAGGAAATAAGACTTGAATACATCAAATGTGTACTATATATATTTAGGCCATCAAGTTTACAAAGCTTCAGCTTATTAGAAGGAGAAAAAATGCCCGCTGGTAAAGCAGCCAAATGACTGTAAACAGATCTACAATAGCAAACAGTAGTGATTTTACCCAAGTCATTTAATATAATTTAAAATCTTGAAACTTAAAATAATTTCCCAACTTTGCTACAGTTAATTTTGTAGTGATAAATTTGCATCTCAATCTATTTTCTTACCTATAAATTAACTTTTTAAAACTTCTCTCCTGTTCTAATCATTTAGATGGTTGATTAGAATACGCAGTGATCAAATCTTAAGTTGTAGTTCAACTATTTTTCTAAAACAATTACTCTATTTCCACAGAATGTAGAATTGCCCTACTCCACGGACTGTCACCCCCCTCCACATTGTTACTTTTAGTTAAAATAATAAGCATGTGACAAACACATTTGGCCCTGACAGATGATCAGTAGTATCAATTTTATGTAATGACTGACATTGACCTTTCAGCAAGAGGAATTTTCAAACAAGCTAACAAAATAGGCTCCACACACATAATACTGTAACACAAAACTTGTTTGGGTGGAGGGGAAGGTTGAAAACAAGAGCTACGAACGCTGTAACACAGACTGTTACACTAAAAAAAAGGTGTTTTTTTAAAAAGCAAGAAAGTTTTAAAAAGACCAGAGACATGCACAATACATTTGCACCCCAGAATGCCAACGTAATAAATGCCTATTGAATACACTGGCACACGCACAAGTATTCCCGAAAGAGCCCGTGGCTTAAGTACACATGGAAGCAGAAATCGCAGGCAACAACGCTGTGGCGAAAAACGACTCATCTGGAAGTCAAGAGACCTCGGTTTTAGGCTCCTGGCTCAACAACTAACTCCCGGAGTGACCTTGGGCAAACCATTCTCTCTCTCTCTCGGCCTGTTTCATTATCTTAGAGAAAGAACTTGAAGTCTCTGTCTTACAGCATTAAGTCTGTTCCAACTTCCTGTGATTCTGAATAGCCTTTTGGGCTGCCAATAATCATTGCCCGGAAAAAAAAAATAGAAAAGTTAAATGGGTCAGGGTCCCCGAAAGCAGAGATCCAGTGGCTGGAGATGAGTATAGGTGGACCCTGACCCAGAAAATCACGGCACTAGATTTGGGGGGCGGAGGGGTCTGCGAGAGGGCCGGAGATGGGACTGCCCTTCTCCGGGCTCCGGCGGGAGGTGGAGTCGAGGTTCTCGCGTGCATTGTCCCCGGGAGGGAGCCATGTTTCTTCCTCCCCGACACTCCCAGATGGCGGCCGGGGGCGCGGGGCCTAAGCAGACGAAAAGACCCATGGCCTGGAGAGCAAAGTGGTGGAGGACAGGGTGGAGGAGCTCCAGTCCGGACAGGCCTGTCTCCCGGGCCGCGCGGGCCCCGAGACGCACCAAGAGGCGGCGGAAGGAAGGGCCCGTAGAGCCGACAGTTCCTGACTCTGCGCCTCCCAGCCCCTAGTCGGTTGGAGCAAGAAGGGAAACCGTGCCCAACTACGGGCTGGGACGTTGGTGGGCAGGCCATATCGGCCTCCTCTCCGGCCGCAGTTGGCGGAGGAGCAGCAAGAAGCAGGCCTGGGCCCCTCCAACTCCGAGGCCTCGGGCCGCCCCAGCCAAGTGTGCCCCGACCCCCTACTCACCGTTGGCGCGCTTGAGGGCATTTTCCGGCCTCTGGAAATAGGCCGGCATCTTGGCGGCAGGCTCAGTTCACCCGGCGTCAGCGAACTCCTTAGTGGCCTGGGCCGGAGACGAGACGAAGGGGAACCAGCGCGAGGCTCCACGCGCCTCGACAGCAGTCGCCCGCGCCCAGCCGGCCAGAGACGGAAAAGAGGGAGCCACGTGACCCCCGCGCGGCGGCGCTGCCGCCGCCCAGGCCCCGGATGTAGGGGCGGGCCTCCGCGTGCGCACCGCCCCTTTCACGCGCGCAGGCGCGCTGGCGTCGCGCGCGACGGCTGACGTGGCGTCCGTGGCGTCATCCACGTGCTTCGGGGTCCCCTTGGGACTCCGAGGGGCAACGTCAGGGAGGCGGTTGTCAAACCCCTCACTCAAGCGAGACTCGGGATGGGAAAGGTAAGATTTAGGTCAGAGTTTCTGTCTGGCTAGAAGGCAGGTATCTGCACAGATTCATCTTCACCATGATTTGTGCGGAGTCTTGCAAAGTGGCAATCAGGTCCCATCCGCCTAGGGAATGGCTGAGTGAAAATGCGGAATTTATCCGTTTACCGGAAATACAGTGAGCGGGTACTGGGAAATAGTGGTACCTATCACATCACGAACTAGCATGGGGAGGAGGGACGCAGTAGATAACTAAACAAATAAGCTTATTTAACACCTATGTAAAATAAAAAAGTTGGTGACACAGGTTTCCTGAGGAATGGGGACCCTCAGAGAAGGCAAGTAGCTGAGTCCTTGAAGATGGGGACAGACTCGTGACAGAGCAATCTGGAAGAGGGCAAAAGCCCTACAGCAGAACAGATTTTTATTATGTTTGAAAATACGTGGACTGTTGTCGCCTTTACAGTCAGCACACATCACAAATGTAAGAAAAGTGAGCGTTAGTGAAAAAAATCAATTTATAACGCCGATTGCTACAGTCTTTCTTACTGATTAACTATCAATGTTCAAACATTAACTATCGATATAATAACCTAGAATTTGAATGCCATTTAAATCGAATTTGAGTACTCAAGCCCTTGGTCTGAAATTAAGATGAGTTCAGAAGAAAATTTCAGAAAGCAGCGGTGGAATAAGTTGTTGCAAATTTATTACACATTTTGTAATAATGGAGGGGATATGTGAATTAATGAGAGTATTACATTAATGAGTGAGGAAACTACAGTACGTACAAAAAGCATTTTCCATCATTCCTCCTGACCAAAGAAGTTTTCCTATTTAAATTGATCACTGTAGAGAAAGAAAATTTGAGAAATGCAGACATAGACAAAATAATAAATCACAAATTCTTTAAGAAGATTTTAAAATCAATTTCAGAGAGTTCTTCCTCCAAAATGCTTAGACTTCTCTAAATATGTGAGCTTACTCCCCCAAAACTAGAGCCAGACAGCGTTGAGCAACAAGTACTAAGAAGCTGCAGAATTTGTTTTATGGGGCAGGATCAAGACACTCATTTGTATATATAATAATTAAGTCAAGATTAAAGAGCTAAACATAAAAGCAAATATAGCTCTTAAATGCTGTAGATAGAAAACTAGTAGGCTATAGAAAGACGTAATAATAAAATGAAAGGAAACCTGATCTAAATAGCAGAAAAAGCTTTCCAACATTCTTTCCTTTATCATATCTGAATGAAAATGGTAAAATGACCTCATTGATTAATATTCATTCTTCGGTAGACTTAGAACAAGACAAACACTAGAAAATTGGGAGATAAAATGAAATTCAGTATCTCTACATCTTTATGCTTTTCTCTTTGAAGTTATTTAAAGTATATGAAGCATTTGGTCACATAATAGTCAATGATCATTTAAGTGCATTAAGTAAAATTATTTAGAGTCTATTACCGTATTCGTGAATAAGGAAAGTATAATGTCAGTCTCCAGGATAAACTTACCTATTAAATTCAACCAACAGGTATTCAGTATCAACTAACAACCATAACGTTAGGTGCTGGGGATAAAGAGATGCCAGGTGCCTGCTTTCAAGGAGTTTATGATAAACTGGTGAAGATAGATGAGTTCACAAGGACAAGGACGGACAAGATAGGATCTTTTCTGGACCAGGAGAAAAGCTTAAGTACTTGCTGTTGATTAATGCTCACTTAGTAGGAAACAAGCAACCCGAATATGCTAGAAGCCACTTTAGGAAGGGATAAGAGGAAATGGCCAGGCTGATTGATGAAGGTTTTTCCCTAATGAAGCTACTTTTGTATTACATAGGACAGGATAATTTCTCTAATACAATGTTTTGGAGATTTTTGTGACTTGTGTGGAGTAAATAAGACTCTCAAAAAAAAAGTTGTTAAGGGCACAACAAGAGGTACTACTATATACATACTTGCAACATAATATCTTAGTTTTAAAACAAGTATCTTTTACAGTTACAAAATGTTTGCACATTCACAGTTTCATTTAGAAGAATGCTGTAATGAAGGTATTTATACTGATGAACATAACAAATTTCAGAGGTAAGCTAAGGTTCACGGTTATACATTCAGTCAACAGACCATTATCAAGTGCATATCATGTGCCAGGCATGGGAAGTAAGCTCCCAATAGTGGCACAGACGTGGTTCCTGCCTTCTCAGACTTTGCAGTCCGGAGAGAGAAAGACAGACACACCACTCCCATCCAGGCCCCCATTGTCTCTCCAGGTCCACCTCTCACCACACTCAATGGCTTTCAGTGCCTTAAACAGCCCTCTCTCCCACCTCCAACCTGATGCATGCCATCACTTCACTTGGAACATTCTTCACCAGCACCCTTGCTCTGACAACAGCCACCTATTTCTCCTTCAGGTTAAATGTCACTTCCCCCAGGATTCTTCCCTGACCCCCTGATTATTTAGATGCCAAGACAGTGAGCACCAGTAACATGCTGTCTTAGCACTGATCGTACTGCGGTATAATTACCCGCGGGCCAAGAGAGAAGAAGGGCCACATTTGTGGTGGTTACCGCTGTGTCCCTGGTGCCTGCCACAGCATCGGGCAGAGAGGATGCGCTCAAAAGACTCCGGAGAGATAAATGAATGAATCCCCCACATTAACATTTATATAAAACAATTTCCTACTATACCTTTGGGGAAGTAACAAGTTTGAAAGTCAGATATGTGTCTTCTTTCACTCATAAAGCACCTATCCATCTACACGGAGTTCTCGATATACTTAAGCCCTAGCATGCAAATATTAAAGAAGAAACAATGTTCCCTCACCGAAAGCTCCTAATTGCATGGGTTCTGAACCTCCAGCTGTGCCGAAAGTCATTTGTGATTTTCTGAAGTGAGTGTTCAAAGACATCATGCTTTCCTACACCTATACATCCCTTCGCTCTTCCCCATCCCACCCACCATCACCTGATGAACCCCTGCCAATACAACAAGCCTCAACTCAAAGGCTTCCTCTGCACAAAGTGTTTCCTGGCAGCTGGAGGCCGACTTCACTGTCCCTTTTCTTGTGCCCTTCGCTCAGGCCACCATATGCCATCATCAGGCCATCCCTGAGCATTCTGCTGTCCCTGCAGCCCTGCCAAGGGGTGGCTGTTTTCCTTCCTCAAACCCCTGGTGCCTGGAGGTGGATAAATGACCGAGCAGCTCTTCCCACTAGATCCTTCCAGAGCATTCTTCTCTCTCTCTCTCTCCTTTAAACTCCGAGCTTTGGAGCGCACACCCTCAGAATAGACCACATGCCATCCCTCCAGTATAGTTCTCTATAGTCAGCTACAGATCCCAGGTCAACCTGCTCGTTCCTTGACTCCTAGTTCTGTCTCCTTGTCGCTCCAACGCTACCATCATAATTACCAGTGGTTTCTATACCAATGTAGACGATCCTGCTAATATCCTGGCTACCGCCCTTGACGATTGTGTCTTCTACCTTACCTCAACCGCTCTCGCACACACGGTCATACCCTAGAGTCTAGACCTGGGGTTGGCAAGTTTTTTCTGTAAAGGGTCAGATCATAAATATTTTAGGCTTTGTGGACCAAGAGGCAATATCTTCAATTCTTGGAGCAACTGTTCTTGCTGAAAATATAATAGTCTTTTTTTTCCCCATATATTACATTTAAAAATGTAAAGACCATTATTCACTTGAGGCAGTATAAACACAGACAGCACATCAGATTTGGCCCTCAGGCCATAGTTCGCTAACCCCTACCCTAGACTTGGTCATACCTACTGTCTCAGTTCCCAAATCTTGATTTCTAACCAACTTTCTGGCCACTATCTCCTGTGGTTAATCCTGTTGCACCCCAACTCCAATAGCCCTGCCGCCTGACTGGGCCCTCCAATCCATTCATCAGTCCTACTTCCTTTTCACTGCTCCTCAACCCCACGTCCTGTATTTCCTCCACACCCAGCTTGGATTCCAGCATTTAGTTCTTTTCTTGCTGGGCTCTCCCTTTATTCTACCCAAGCCCTGGCCAATCCAATCTTCCACCTACTCCTTGCCTGCAGCCTAATATGACCAGAGAAGAATGTACAACCATGTTGACAAGTCTCACTTTCAACTCACAACCACGAGCCTCAACAAGCACCACGTTGCTGTTCAGCCATCCTACAACATTTCTTTAGGTCACGCCCCCATTCTCCCTATGTCGTCCTTTTCCTCTCTCCAATCCTCCATTCTGAGCTGATGGCCTCATTTTTTCTATAGCACTGCAAACTGTGGAGCAATTGGAAAAGAACTTTGGCACTCTGCCACCTACCCACCCACCTGCTATACTCATACACTCTGCCTCTTTCCTAGTGCCCTTCAGTGCGTGCTCCTCTCTAAATCCAGCCCCTATATACTAATGCACCAGATTCCATCTCTGCTCACACACGGGGCTGATCACTCCATCCTCCCTGAAACACCCTTCACTAAGCTCCCAGGATCACCCTTTCCTGATTTTCTTCCTGCCTCTCTGACGACTCCTCAATTTCCTTTGCTGGTGTCTCCTCATCTCTCTGACCGCTAACGTTGAAAAGTATCAGGACTCAGCCCCTGAACCTCTGCCCTCCTCTAAGTATTATACATTCATCTCTCGATTCTAACTCATGACTGTAGACATCATCTCTATGCTTATAAGTTATAAAATTGCATCACCAGCACTTGACCTCTCTCCTGAAAGCCAGTCTCACACCCAGATGTCTATTCGACACCTCCATTAAGTGCTTGACACACAGC